CAACACGGTGCCACTGCTAAGGGAGTGGTGGGAAAGAGACAACAGTATGTTTATCGAACCGTTAATTATTAAATCACGGTACAAATTGATGTTTGCTCTGCGGACCGATCATATGTATGTACGTCAAAAACACTGTCTTCCATCTATTACAATATAATCGATTTGGGTTTTTCTTTTTGATCACGAGACAGCCATCTACTTTAATGGAACTTGGATGCAGAATGCTCCTACGCTGGGAACAAATAAATATAAGGGAATGGCCTACGCAGCATTTGAAATCGCCAAGCACGAGGAGGTCTTTGGGCGTCTCATACCTCTCATCCGTTGGGGTGTGTTCGCAACCAGCAAATAAATAAAATTGTACAAGTAAGGTTTAATTCCTTAATTTAAAATCGCATAGATAAAAAAAAATGCTCACAGTAAATATCCAGTTTAATTCTGTTAGAAGTGGAACAAAGTGCAAATAATTCATTTTTGAAAATTGTAAATATATTGACCTAATCACATTACCGCACAGCCACTAGACAAATTCTTTCTCATGAATATTACATACAGTGTAGCATACTTACTTACACATACATAATAGCCATGTGTTCATACAAAGAAAATGTGTTCCACGCGAGGCAACCAGTGCGCAACCAATAAGCATTTAATTTAACTATAATTGCATACAGAAGTGAAGATTATCATCTATTTTCGCCATTCATCCATATGTATGTACATATGTATGTATGTAAGTATAAATATGTTAATGCTTTTGTGACTGCAAGCACACTTCAATAATAAATTGCCTAGCCACAACAAAGTCAATATTGATCAAGTGATTTATTTCATTTGTTTCTCTTTTCGGGTGGCTATCAATAGGATCGCCGATTCTCGTAATATTATGTACATATGCATACATGTGATTTTACATACGTGCTACAATACATGTAAGTAGGCGTACTTGCGTGATTATAAAAGCAACAATAATTTTTATTTACATTTTTACGAATTATTCAGTGGCTGGAAAATCACGCAAAAACCACAGTAAAGCATATCAGCCCGAGTAAATATTTTTGTGCGTGACGATACCGAAGGCACGCATACATATTCATTATGTAAAGGAATCCTATAGCGTTTACACTAGGGCGGGTCTATATTTTGTAATTACTATGCGCGTATAGCATTGGCGTATTCTACGTGTAATTTTTTAGCAAATTTGCCGAAGAAACTAAGGGTCTAAAATCAATTTGAAGCTTGCCAAATTGTAAAAATAGTTTTCGAAGAAAATGTGAAAATTTTCACTGTTCCGCCCTCTGGGGGAAGTTCTAAGAAAAATATGAGTGCAGAAATGGATCCCATATACCAAAAAACCTCTATGGCATGCTTTTATACAAGATTTAGGCACTTCTTTGCGACACTACAGCAAAATGCTACGATAGCTCTTTTCGCAATTTGGCAAACTCCAAATTGGTTTTAGTCGGGAGGATTTCTTCGAAAAAATTTGCTTAGAATTACCCATAAAATCATTCTGTGCTATACGCGCATAGTCGAAAAAATCCCACATACAAATTGACCCTCCCTAGTATACACATATCGCTAGCTTAGTGAAAAGTTTTTTAGTTCACTGCTTATGAAAACTCATATTTTGATACAGCAGATTAGAGAGATTAAAAATGAATCGTTCCGAAAAGGATAAAGTCCAAAGAAGCGCCGAGCACCCGATAAAGCCAGAATAGCACGAAATCTTTTAATAAAGATCGAATCCTTCTGATTATTTTAGGGGTTTGCTTTGCTTTAAACACGCAAAATGCTGTATTAAAATGTTTGCGAATTGCATACCTACTTGAAGAAAATGGCAATAACACGTTTTTCCTCTCCCGTAAAACTTATAAAATGGGACTTAGTCACTTTTCACTCTAAGCTGGCTTAGGGTGGTCAAAAAAAAGTCTAAAAGGTTAAGCTCTCAACCCCTGGGTTTATCATTTTTAAAGCAAGCTTTCTAAATAAGAACGAAATCGGACCATACATACATACATACGGAGCCAGTTAAATAAAAGCTTGTAAAAATACCCGTATTGTTTGTAAAAAATGATATTTAGAGCTGCCTCAAAGCTCCTGCAGTTTTCCATGTATTTTATATGGGGAAAACACTTTTTTGTAGAAATCATAAAGAATTCTCGAAAATCAATATTTTACAAACCGAAAGCTCTGTTTCTCTCCAGAAGTCTTACAATAATAATACTCAACTGTATATTTTACCATTTTTACAATAGTAACAATTTTTTTTGGACCCCCGTTGCATTTTCGGGGTATGCTTTTTTCACTTAGAAAAATCCTTGGTGGTGAGAGCTTATCATTTTAAACCGTGTTTTTGGACCAACCTAGTGTGTGTACATATATGTTTTTTATGCTATATAAATGAAGTGAGCGTATGAATACTTGCAATCACTGACATACAAAACAAAACCATACGAGTGTACTTGCAAACATATTTACATATGTAGCTACTTACGTTGACCGCTTTGATGGTGGCGGTCAATTGAAAAACTAATATAAAATTCCAAATATTTTGCTACAATAACCACAATAGCTCCTGACACAAGAGATACACACACATGCATATGTACATATGTTTTCATTCTAATAAAATTTTATTATAAATTTCCATCCTTTTGCACGCAGGATTTATGTATATATGTAAATACAATAGCATAGGAACAATTTTTAATAGAAAGACTAACATTAAAGAACCGAAAAGAGTGGAATACTACTGGACTTGAAGCCATTGTTTTGTTTATAACTTATATAACAAAAACAACACTAACAGAAAATACATATTTGGCTCTCGCATTTATGCGAGGGATTTTTCCGGGCAGAAGTACCCCAAGGAGCGATCAGAATTCAGACAGGCAATCGCTTTCGATAGTACTCGAAGCTGGAATCGAACTTAGGTCCTACCGCACCTGTAACCACCTGGCTAAGGCGATCGTAAAAATCCAGTCTATAAAGCTTAAGCGACAGCGAAACAGCCGCAGCCAATTGTACTTGGATTTTTACGATTGCCAATCTAGTGTTACTATTCGATTATTCGAATAGTCGCAAAGCTACGAATACCTTACTAAATCGAATATTCGACCGTTGTAATAAGCGTTACTTGTCAAACAAAAAAAATATGAACTTATAACCTACTCATTTATGCTGTTGCTTAGTATCTACAATATTTTCTCAAAACAAAACAAAAAGTGACGGGTGGGACCATGATCAAATTAGTATAATGTTTTTATCATGGATGGGACACTTAACTCGTTTTTCTCAAACTTTATGTAATGTCTCTGTAACATTAATTTTATTAATTTGAAATCAGATATCCATTTAATTCGAAACTAATAAAGTATAAAACTTAATCATATAATTTACATAGAAAATTTACATTTTTCAAAACTGACGGGTGGGACTACGATGACATCCGCTTCTCTGAGTTGTTGGATTCGTTTACGAATTTGAGACAAACTATTAATATTTTGTTCAGGGCACTTTTCTCGTATGAGGCTATTAGAACGTTAAAGTCCCTTTTGTGTTTTGTATTTTTGTAATTACTACCATCATTTTAATGTCCGTGAATTGTACTTTTTTTTGGAAAATTTTTTTTTGCATTGTCACTTTTGATGCACCACGTGGAATGCCTTGACAACTTGATGAAAAAATTTCCTATCATAGATTGTTGCACTATGGCTGGGTTTATATCAATAAGAATAGAGAAAATAGTGAAAAATTAAGCCATTGAAATCTTTTTCTAAAGAATTACTCCATCTGCTTTTTTACAGAATTAAACACAATCTATGTAATTTATTTTTTTTATTTGTGGTGCCGTCTTCGCTGGAATAACCCATATTCATACATTTCAAGTAAGTTAAGTGTGTACATATGTACATACATACATATGTATACATATCTGCATATATTTCAATATTCGAATAATCGCGCACCAGTTATTATTCGAAAAATTGACAACGAACAAAATTTTGGATTAATCGAGCAATTATTCAAATAATTGATGGTGGGCGATTACTCGAATGCAGTCAATCGATAATTCTAATATTCGATTAATCGAATATAAAGAGCTCCAGTTTTGGAGCCGTGACCAACAACTCAGCAGTCGAACATGGATCCATTCGGCTACAGCAGCTGTTGGTTTGTTTGTGGCTTCAAAACCACACATTATCCACTCGCTTACATTGCGAAGCACCTTTCGTTCAACCGTAGTGGTTAATATTTTCTTGGTAGAAAAGGGTAATGCATTCCCATATTCCCACTGGGTCTGCATGCTTGGTATACATATGTACAAATGTGGACATTGAAATACGTGCGTGATAAACTTTGGTATGAAAATAATATTTTTAAATACGAACATTTTTAAACGTTAATCAAATATAAAGTATTCATTTTTACTTTGCATTGGATTCCGAAATGTTTTTCAGAACTTGCCAGTTCCCTGGCGCATCCAAATGTTGTTTAATATAGGATTTGATATCATCCATTAGTGCTAGGATATGCCTTCTAAAGTATCTGGGGCCGTTCTGCTTAAAGCAGTGAAAAAATGCTTTTCACTTTTTGAGAAAACTCATATTTTGATATATGAAGCAAGAGAAATTAAAAAATCAGCCTTTACTAAAGAGTTAAAGTCATTGTCTTAAATGTTACCGGTTATCCTCAAATGTGTTTGCCAAAAGGGGGCACCGAATTTTCGATAAGGCAAAAATAAAACGAAATCTTTTTAATAACATCGAATCCTTCTGGTTCGTGTCGAGTTTTGATTTGCTTTAAACTCGCAAAATTTTGTAATCACAGATTGAAAAATTCCCGAAGAAAAAGACTCTAAGAAGTTTTTTCTCCCATGTAAAAAAAAAAAAAAAAAAAAAATGGATTTAACAACTTTTTACTCTAAATCGACCAAAATATCGATGTTAATATAGATTAACGAGTGTCAATGTTATACTGATAAATATCTCACTCACTTGTTCATAATTGTTTCCACTTTGTGATAGAGTTCTCTACGGTGACGTCGCTTAATAGTTGGCTCCTCCACTTTTTGCATATCTTCATCATTTTTTCTACGTCCCAGGGCATGTGCATGATCGAGGACCCAAGTAGCATTTGGTAGATCATAGGCGAATCCCCAATTTAAACCCATGCTTAAGTACTGGTAGTTCGGATTGCCAACAACTCCGGTAGTCAAACACACGGCGCACTGAATTTATAAAGATTAGTGAAGTCCAGATAAATAAATGTGATGAGTATTTACGAATAAATTTTAAAATAATTAAACAATGGAATTTGACCATGACTTATAGAAAGTTAAACTAATTTGTTTGATTGGTAATGGTGTTCCAAAGTGTTGCCAGAGGAGATGGCACTTAGCTTCTTGAGGTGAAGGTAGATGTTAGGGAGAAGAAGCCCCATGAACAGGCGATGCATTTCCTCCTGTTCGATTCTATCGGACGCTAGGAGTGATGGGGGCGTATCCTATTTCGGTAGTCCGCTATCCGCATTGGACAAATATTGAATATTCATGAGTGCCGAGGACGAGAGTGATAGCACTGGTGAAAAATATTCTGGAAACTTATTGTCCCACATATTAACCCACAACACTCCCAGGTGGTATCCCCCAGTATTTTCTCTCATCTTGACCAAAATAGGCTGACGTGATCTTGAATTATTAGCCCTGGCTGAGCTGTAGGGTATATCTTGGGTATTTCCAAAACTAGTTTAGGTTAGGTTGATGTGGCAGTCGGTTCAAGTTACCAACACACAATTTGAGGCTCTTATAAAGCGTCAATCGGTTTTATTCTTACGTGTGATAATTCCGTTAGAGAGCTAAAGAAGAGCCTGCCTAATAAGCCTGCTCTCCTCTTGGCCAAAGCTGGGCAACTACAGAAGAAGTGCTCCACGGTTTCTTCCTCTTCCTCATCTCCGCAACTTCTGCAATATTCGTGGGAGAAAATTCCTAGTCTTGAAGAGTGCCTGCCAAATAGCTAAGGACCGGTTACACAAGCCGTAACCTTTGGAATATCCTATCTTTAGAGGTACAGCAAGTATTTCGTCTTTTTCTTTTCTACTTGCGGCCAAAGCAGCCTGGCTGTTCTCTTTTGGATCATGTGATTTCGAAGTTCTAATTTGCAGGTTGCCATGGGTATCCCTGGGATACTATCCCAATAATGCCCAAAACTACTTAGAGAAATTTCGGTTGCGGCTAGGCCCAACGTAACAAAAATAAAGAAACGGTTCCCGAAAAACTGAAACTCGATTCCAAAAGAAGAGAATAATGGTTCCGGAAGAACCGAAACGTGATTCAAAAATAAAGAAATGGTTCCGGAGGAACCGAAACTCGATTACAAAATAACTGAAAAACGGGTCCGGAAGAACCGAAACTCGATTCCAGGAGAACCGAAAAATGGTTCCGAAACCGAAGATCGATTCCAAGCGAACCGGAAACGAGTCCTACTACTATTACACTACGAGCAAAAAAATTATTGTTTAGGCAGCCACGTCACATTGATGTCGATTCTTTGACTGACGGGTTTTGTGCCGACTCAATGAACACAGGGTGAGAGGAAGAACATAAGCTACTCAACAGTGTTTCTGGCCGAATGGGAGCCGAAAGCGGTCAGGTAATCTGGTGGATGCATTGACAGGAGATTTGCCAATAGATACTAATGTGGTGAAGTTGAATTGCGCCCAAATAGAGAACGATGAGGTGGAGTTATCTCAATACTTTTCCGTAACCTGAAAAGACCTAGCGAGGCTATGAGGCTTAATATCTTCGGTGCTGCAGTAAACGTTCGTAGTTGTATCATAAACTAGTGATGCTTAAGGTCTAAGTGTTTCTCTTCTTTGGACGAACACATTGACCTAACCTAGCCTAACTTTACCTAATAATGAATAAATAATTGTTTTTGGATTCTTATTTGAATGAAACTTTTAACTTTAATTTTCTAAATTTCAAGTTGTGCCACATTCAAAACCAAAAGTCAACAAAGAGTGCTTACCGAAAATGATGAACCCAATGGAAATGCCAAGAAGCGTTTGTGGCGAGATGAAATTTGTGTCGTTGCTCTAGTCGTATGCCATTTCTCTTCCCCTTCTTCTGCAATAGTCGCATCAGCTATGCATGCTAGCTTTGTGGCACCACTAATACTCGTAGTGTTGCTGTTGCAACTTTCCCTCTCGTACTGCAATGAGTGTCCAAGCTCCTCAGCGGCAAAAGCCGCATCGAAATGCAACGCTTCGGCTGACTTGGCATTGCTTGTGGCAACGAGAGCAACAAAAACAAACAGAATTATCACCAGAAGTAGGCGGCTTATGCTGTTGTTGTTGCACATTGACAATACACGCAACATCTTAGCTGGTAGTCGCGGCTATTGTTGCAAGTTGAAACACTTGCAGAAATTGTTGATGCTGCTGCTGTTGTTTTGGCTGTCGAGTGGTTTTGTTGTTTGTGGTGTTGGTGTTGCTGCTATTGTTGCTTGGACTTTTGTTACGCCTCCTTTGCGCTACTCACTTGCGAAATGCGTTAAATGGCGACCACAAGCGCGCAGAGTTGAGAGCTAGTGGCGACGTTGTCGTTGAAGGGCGTAATGTTGCCACAACTGTGCGGAACTTGAAGTAGAGTAAAGTGAAGAATTTGGTGTCGCACAAACACAAACACTCACACACATATGCATATGCATTTAGGCAAACACATGCATACGCTTTTGTTGTTGCTTTAATTTTGAATCTATTGTTCTACGGGGTATTTTGTTTACAGCTTTACGTGCCACAAATTCACTTGCCGCCTGGGCATTCAGCAAATTTTCTTCTTCTTCTTCTTCTTATACTCGACGGAATTTCTTTCTGCAGCAACGCTATTCGAAACTAGCGGCAATCCACTTTGTTCGAGTGTCACTTTGATTTTGAGTTGAGCTGAGACGCTGTTCGCCTACATTTCGCAGCGGCAGCGATTGCGGCGTTTGCCTTCTTTTGTTTCACGGCTCAGTGCCACAAACAGATGGAGGAAAATAAGCGCAACAATAAGCAAACTGCGAGCAAAGCAAAGTAAAGAAGGAAAATGCCATGACATCAAAGCAACAACTTCTGGCATGCCAACTGCAATGCCACTTTAGCCACAAATTGTATGCAAGTTCCTCTCTTTCTACTTCTCAGCCTCAGCTTCTTTTCGCCTTCAATAAGTAGTTCTAGTGTAGTGTAGAAAAGAAAGTAGTATGTAAGTAGTGGTGCTTCCTATTGTTGTAGTTGTAATTGCTGCTGGTAATCGCATTTCGAGTTTTTCCAAGCCCTATTACCATTCTGTAAGCTGTGTTTGTTGCTGCTGATACTTTGGCTGCGGCCGCAACCAGCGCTATTACCATCATCAACGCCATCGCCAATGCTAACGCCATGCTCTGCCTCTGCCGCTCTTTCATTCAAATGACGCAAATGTTGACAACGCCAAACAATTCAATCCCAACCAATCCAATCCAATCAATTCAGGCAAGCAAGCCACTAATCAACCAACCAACCAATCGACCGACCAAGCGTGTCCGTGAGCGTAATCACCATGGTCGTCAGAGAAACAAAAGCGTACAAAGAAGAGCCATGGAGAGTTGTGGGGACGCAATGAAAGGCTTGCACTGAAAACAAAGAAAGTTCTGCATAGAATTTAGTTGTTAATTAAATTAGTTCGGAGCTCTCAATGCTGAAGTGGCCAGTTATTGTTCTAAATGCCAGCTAGCATGCAAACAACAACCATGTCGAGCATTTGCGAATCGCTAATAACAATAATAAACGTGCAGAGAAGTTCGTGCATTACATACAAACAACTTCCTATGCATGTAAGTAGTATGTAAATACATTAAGTCGTATCACGACATATGAAAGAAAAAAAAGTATATCGTGTGTCAGTTTTATTTAAACACTTATGTCGAAAAAAATGTTGAGGAGATTTTCAAAATATTTGTCTCGCCCAGGACTAAAATTGTTACCCTTTATACAATTTCGATTTTAAAACCCGTTGAGATTTTAACTTTACTAATTAAAAATAAAAGTCTAGGGATAGTATTTCCAAAATGAGTGAAGGTATAAACAGTTTTTTGAACCAAATTTTTTTATGGTAAATTATAGTATTGAGCTTTGAAAAAACTTCATTTCCAAATTACTTGCAAGAGGGTTGCCACCTATTTGAAAAACTAAATTTAACTTGAATTAAGAGAACTAGATAATTTAAATATGTTAAAAAAAATGCGCTTCGGACGGAAAAGTTTCAAAAAGGTTTTAATTTGAAAATTTTTTAGCAGTGTTACCTCCAGTGTTTTATAGAGTTAAACTGAATGTATACAATAGGTAAAATAATTTGCTACAATATGAATTTCAATCAAAATGGCATTGAAAGATTATTTATAATCGCCATGTAGCAACGTTGCCACCCGTATAAGAATTCAAGTTTAACTTAAATTAAGGCAATCGTAAAATATGAATATGTATCCCGATTTGAGTGCCACGCGAAAGAGGTTGTGGTTTTAAAATATTTTAAAGAGGGTTGCCACCAGTTTACAAATTTAAATTCAATGTATGCAATTGGTTAAATAAATTACTTCAATATGGTTATCAATCAAAACTGCTTTGAATATATTTTATTTCGAAACTACTGTTGCCAAATGTTTTAAAATTTAAATTAAACTTGAATTAAGGAAATCTGATGATTTAAATATGTACAACGATACGAACACATGGACACAGGACGGCTGCCACCCGTTTTAAACTTTAAGCGCAACTTGAATTAAGGGAATTAGACAATTTAAATATGTATATTTGAGTGTCACACGAATATTTCATGTGCAGATTTTCACCTGAATGTGCTCTTAATAAAATCACGTATTCTATGTTTTAGTTTAACGGTTGTGAAGTTTTCAACTTCTTAATAGAGGACTCTGATCATTTCAGCAAGATAAAAGTTTTAGTGTAGTTGAGTTCTTTCAATAACTTTTCTTACAAACTTCCGCTCAACTCAAATACATTTACATATTAATTATTTAACTTTAGCATTTTACAAGATTT